CAAAGGCTGTTTATGAACAAAAGTTGGTTGAAGAGTCATTTACTTAAAGGAGAAAGCTGCTCTATAATGTGTGATAATTCATTTGATTAATGTAGCCATTCTGACAGACTGCAGTGCACTACAGGAAGCGTAGGGGGCGACATGGCCGCTGTTTTTTCACTGCATACTTAAAGATGAAACTGCATGCAGGTACTGCCCAATTCAGATCTCCAGACTCCAGACCCAGAGCCTTATACAGGGGTTCTCAACGTTACTAGAACGCATGAAGGCCCACAGGAAAACAATTTTTTTGTTTGAAATTTCATTTTTGGGACATTTTCAACATGGCAGTGTTTGAGTGCCTACCCACCCAAATATGCAATATGTATCAGCGATGATATTATTTTTCATTGTTAAGTCAATTATTTTTGATGATTTTTACGATGAAGTGCCATCACCGGCCCATTTCAACCCGCTGGTCCTCTTCAATATTGGCCGATGGACCACCAAAGGGTGCTTTGCAGCCTATTTGTGGTCCATGGCCCAGTGGTTGACAAACCCTGGCCTTAACGACTTCAGACCTATGTTCTGTGATGTTTGCCAAAGCACTTATCAAGTTTAATTTGTCTGGGCACATAATTAATTAACTGTGCACCACAAAAGACCTGCATTGAGTGTTGATCTGAACTTTGATTATTTTCTTGTTACTCTTCCCATTTTATTAATGTCAAAGTTCTGCAATACAATCGACAAGCAAAGTCTGCTGAAGTCTTGATTTCATGTGGACTCCACATTACACTTTTCAGACAAGACGGTTTAGCAGGGCACCTGTTAGCTAACATTGCATCACTTTATCTGAAAATAAGAACATACATCATCTAGAAGATGAAGAATATTTGAATGCTTCCTTTCCTCAAGCACGTATTTGGTTTCAGCATCACTCCAAAAATGTTTTGCTGCATCTCGTGGCAACACTGTTTGCTTATTTCTGGTATTGCAAACTGTTTTGCACAAGCACAGACTGAGAAATCCGAAAGACATCTGAGTAAGAGTCTACATGCACTGAGAAATCTGATTACTGAGCTAAAATCCAGCCTCTTTATCAGATTTCTAGACATTACTCTGATCTAAGAAATCAGAGTGTGGTGTTTACATGACCATTTAAATAATCAGATAACTGCAGAAATCCAATGATGATCGGATTATGTCCTAAATTTAGATTTTGGCCTAAAATATTGTATTATTAATAATAATAATAATAATAATAATAATCATGGTCGAAGGGCACATGCACGGTGCTGTAAGGCAAAACTGTACCCTAAGAGAACAGATTTTTTAGGATTTGCCATAATTTAACTGGCATTAACATTATATATAAACATGTAGAAGACACATATTGATTAACTGGTATTTTGGACAGTAAATAAAATAGCTGTATTTGTGAGCCCTGGTTCCTATCACACCACTGTAATGAAATCCCAGTCAGTTTTTCCTACAAATGCCCCATTTTCCATCAAAAAACAATAATTTTGTTTTACATCTCAACTGTTGAATTAAGCAGAACTTTATTTTGAAAAAGTCCTTGGAAGGGTTGAAAATAACACAACCAGAAATCTGGTGAGGAAGTTTGGGGGACATTTGCAACAACAGTTTCAGTTAGACTTCCCACTGCACAGGTTTCAGCACTTCTAAATAAATTGCCATCCGAACCAAATTACAAAGAGGCTGACGGATAATAAACGGTATCTTAGGCTAAATAAATCCCAAATTCCAAGACCTATTCAGCTAGCAGAGCTCACTCCAACACTTTATGGAAAACAATTATCTTGATTCATCTGTCCTCATGAACACACGAGTAAATTAAGTTAGGCCCGTTTCATGAGGCGATGTAATCGTTTTCCCTGAGCCATCTGAGTAAACTCAAACTAATTGGCTTTTATAGAGCACTGTCACTCACTGAGAGAGGAGGCTGACAGCACGTCATTAATCAGGCAAGACAGATGTACCGGAGAAGCTACAAACAAGTGCTGCAGAGTCTGCACAGCTGGTTTACCTACTGCTTAATGCAGTCCAGAAAAGGCTACTGTTTCATATGTCAGTCAGGAACTGCAGTACCAGTCAAAAGTTTGGACACACCAACTCAGAAGAGGTTTCCTTATTTTGACTATTTTCCACATTTTAGAAGAAAAAGCAGCTATTAAAATTATCAAAGGACACACATGGAATTACACAGTGACCTAACAAAATAAATAAATACAACTTAAAATATACTATCTTCTACAAAGAACAGAAGAGAAGAGAAGAGAGGAGAAGAGAAGAGAAGAGAAAGCCAAAGATGAGAAGATAAAACTGAAGAGAAGAGAAAAGAGAAGAGAGGAGAAGAGAAGAGAAAACCGATGAAGAGAAGATAAAACTGATGAAGAGAAGACAAGAGAAGAGAAAACTGATGAAGAAAAGAGGAGAGAGAAGAGAAAAGAAGAGAAAACCGATGAAGAGAAAAGAGAAGAGAAAACTGATGAGGAGAAAACTGATGAAGAGAAGAGAAGACCAATGAAGAGAAGAGAAGAAAAAAGAAGACAGATGAAGAGAAGAAAAGAGAAGACAGATGAAGAGAAGAGATGAGAAGAGCAAACCAATGAAGAGAAGACAAGAGAAGGGAAAACTGATGAAGAGAAGGGGAAACTGAAGAGAAAACCAATGAAGAGAAAGTCTAAGAAGACAAGAGAAGAGAAAACTGATGAAGAAAAAAGAGAGAAGAGAAAAGAAGAGAAAACCGATGAAGAGAAGAGAAAACTGATGAGGAGAAAACTGATAAAGAGAAGAGAAAACCGATGAAGAGAAGAGAAAACTGATGAAGAGAAGAGAAGAAAAGACCGATGAAGAGAAGAGAAAACCGACGAAGAGAAGAGAAGAGAAAACTGATGAAGAGAAGAGAAGAAAAGAGAAGACCGATGAAGAGAAGACCGATGAAGAGAAGACCGATGAAGAGAAGAGAAGACCGATGAAGAGAAGAGAAGACCGATGAAGAGAAGAGAAAACCGACGAAGAGAAGAGAAGAGAAAACTGATGAAGAGAAGAGAAGAAAAGAGAAGACCGATGAAGAGAAGACCGATGAAGAGAAGACCGATGAAGAGAAGAGAAGGTATAATCTATATTCCCGCACTGTCTGCAGAGCTGACCTGTCTGTCTACAAGATCAAATTCCCCTCTTAATAGAGCTGAATTTGAGAAGGGGGAAACATGTCTATGAATAAATGTCATATGAATTTGACTGCAGCTGGGACAAGGTCACAGCTGTACCTCTGTGAAAATGAGTCTGGGTGTAATCAGTAGGGTTATTGATCCATGCAAAGCAATCTGGAGTTATTGACTAGGTGACGGATTTGACTGGGAAAGGAATAAAGTCACTGTGTCAGATGGAATGAAGGAGTAAAAAGCAACCAGCTGCCAGATAACTAGTCATCACTTCCACTATCAATACTCACACTGTGCTTATACAGTATGTTGACAGACAGATCCATGAACCTCTCAAGAGAACACGGCTGCCACCCACTCAAACATGGTGTGGATTCCACGGCATCTCCTTAATAAACACACACACGGAGCTCTGCCTCCTACATTCTAATGACCCCAGCAACACACACTGACAACACGACCATGACACCTCGCGCTACTCAACTTTGTGTGCTAGCAAAACTTCACACGTCGTGATGTAACCACAGGGAACAGAGTGTGACAAGCCACCGATAAATAAGGCCGGCCGCACTGCTGTCACAGATGCTAGCTTCTCCTCTGAAAGAGCGGCTGAGGGTTCACAGTCTGCCTTTACCTCTAGTAGAGCTGCACGATTAATCGCTGGTTAAACGATATCACAATACTGGCCTTTGTATATTCAGATCACAGAAGGCTTGAATATACAAAAGAGTTCCTGACTAAATCACTGAATGTTTTATTGTTGTGTTGTGATTATTTGGACCAATCAGAGATGCTTTGGGATGAATTAAGGCATTCAGAAGATCCGACAAACACAGCAAAAAAACAGTGCAAGCTAAACTTTAACCATGCAGCATCACAGGTTTACTAATGTTGTCAATATACTGTAAGGTAGACTTTGTGACCCCTGGTTCTTATCACCACCACTCACAGTTGGTGAGTTTCTCTACAATGAACCATTTCATGTCAAAACACTCCGAAAGACTGTTTGCAACAATTGAACCGAATGACTGTTCTCAACGATTGAATTGTGTACAAATTTTGAAAAAAATGGTGGAATTCCCCTTTAACAAACTACAATTAGGCAGAAACAAAAAGAATACAGTTCAGCAAACAAGACAGGCTGGGAAAAGCTCTACAGACTGGCTGAAACAAAAACACATTCAGGCTAATCTGGCAAATATTGAAAAAGCTGAGCTGAACCTGATATTGCTAGTTTTGTGGTTCTATCTATAAATCAAAAGGGTACTACTTTTGTGGTGGAAGAAACTGACAACATTAAAGCCCATTTGATTCAATGTTCAGAGCTTTTTTGCTTTACTTTGGTCTTTATTTTGCAGCACTGTTGTCTAAAAGCAATAGGGCACTTGAGATCAATACACAACATCATGGCTGTGAGGATCTACGGTACTCATGCATGCTATCAAATTACACTTATGTGGTTGCAATAATGCATGACTTTGAGATGTCTATTCCTTGTTAGTTGCAATATGGGGTTTTATACAGACCTATTGTCCTAATTCCTTCAAACACCTTCTAAATTGACAATTTGTTTGGTGGAACTATACCATTCTGGGTAAATATCTTCCTTTTGTTCTTTAAATATTGCAATATTTATCACAAAATCATAAAATATTACAGCGTGACTTTTTCACAGTATTGTTCAACGGAAGTGTTGAACTTGTTGAACGTTGGTACTTAATAATCATCATAACGAAGCTCTAATTGAGAGTAATGGAGATGAGACAAAGTAGACGAGAATAAGAGAAACGACAGTGTAAAGAATTTGAGAGGAAATGATTGACTCACAAGGCACAGCGTGGCGGTAGAGGTTATCCCGTATGGTCTGTTGGAGCTTGTGGTCATCTGAAGACTTCTGGAACCTCTGGCTCAGGTAGTGCTTCAGGTCCTTATTCAGCTTATTTCCTGAGGAACAGGGAGGAAAACAGAGATGATCAGTCAGTCACAGTAATTTACAGTCAGTTTACATCATTAGCTAGCATTACAATTACCTAGCAAGCATCTGGAAATATAATAAAAAGGAAAAAACTTAATTTTCTCTTTATTTTTGTTGTGGTAAATTCCGCTAGTGCTTCACTTGGGCCTGAAATTTTGATCCAAATTTGAATACAGAGAGAGAATTCCAACCTGACACACAGCATTGCATTTTAAGACCGCATTAGTCCCCAGTCTGACAAAATTCTGTCTAAACCCGGCCTGACCCGCCCCACATCATCTAGACTGACCCAAGTCTCATAACATTATGTCCAAAACTGACCCAAATTGGCCCATCATCACCTAAAGTGCTGAAAAAAGCCTGTCTAGACAGTGTCAGTCAAATCACAGCAATAACAACCATCATTAGATCAAAACCCAATAAAATAAAAAATAAAATTGTGATAGAATAAAACAATGAGCTGCCCAAAATTATGTTTTAATCCTGGTTCAATGTCTTTGTAAAAGCATTCCAAAAGGTGTTTAGTCTGTATAAACTTTCCATACAGCCCACAATCATCATACATCATCTAGAAGCCGAAGAATTTTTAAATCCTTCATTTCGTCAAGCACGTAGTCGATTTCCGTGTCACTCCAAAAGTGTTTTGCTGCGTCTCGCGGCAACGCTGCTTGCTCAATTCTGGTACCATCTGTTTTCGCACATGCACAGACTGAGAAATCTGAAAGAAATCAGAGTAAGAGCTTACATGCACTGAGAAATCTGATTACTGAGTTAAAATCCAGCTCTCCTTATCAGATTTCTTAACCAGATTTCTAGACCTTACTCTATCTAAGAAATCAGAGTATGCTGTTTACATGACCATTTAAATAATCAGATAACTGCAGAAATCCGAATATGATCCGATTATTGAGTGCATGTAAACACACTCACTGTTTATTTCATTTTACTCACTCATTTTCTCACGAGAGTGGGCCTCAGTGCTAAAGTCTGTCACCAAAACCACTGTTGTACCTTTGAGGGAACATTTACATTGTTTGTAGCAGTGTAAACACCCAGACAAGGTGCAGACAATTATGTTCTCTTTGACTTCGAACTCTGGTAAGGAGCTTTAGCTCAGTGGTATGTAGTTGAAGTGTAATGTACTGATTTACTCATTTGCCTTTCGCTAAGTAAACATGTTAACACAGTTATTGGAATTCAATGGGAGCGGAATGGTAGTCCAGTGACCCATGCTTTTAACACAATCATAGACTTCCTTTCACATTCCTGAGGACACCTTGCTGGCTTCTAGTGTGTGTGTGTGTGTGTGTGTGTGTGTGTGTGGCTGCACCATCGCAGCCAGGCCATGTGAAGAATTTCCCACCCTCAGCTAGACCATCTGTTTTCTAAGACACAGATCGCTTACCCAGCACTATTGCAAAGAGATGCCGACAGCCAAATGGTGTTTATGTGTTAATGTGAGTCCCCTGGGTGCCCACTCCAACGCCAGACCACTCGGCATTATTAAACACAAAGGAGCTCGGTTCAGAACAGTTATGAGTCAAAACGATGGCTTAATTAAAGACTGATAATAGGCTAGTAATGTAGAGCAGACGTTCCAGTGTAAAAACATTACAGGACAGTTTTTGTCTAGACAAGTTTATTCTTGGGCCGAATTACAGCTGCACCATATATCGCTTGTTAATAATGATCACAATTTTGTAGATATGTAAATGAGCCTTTTTACCAATTACAAAATTGCATATTGTATGCTATAAGTACACAATAAGGATTTAGCGATGGGTTTTTAAAGCCCCAAATTTTTTTTTTCTTAGATTTTATTCATTTCTCAAGAGGTCCAATTATGATAATCATGTGGTTTTATGTACCAAAACTAATAACGATTCATTTCATTTACATGACCATTTTCCAACATTTCTTTGTCCCTTAAAATTAAACAGGCTGGTTTTGTTACGGTGCCTATTTTAAATTAGCTCTGTTCTGATTGGCTGCCTCTGTATTGTATTCTCATTCAAAATGCAGTCCAGGCGAAACACTCCTTAAAACTTCAGTGTGAATGGGCGGAGCTAAACTGTGTCAAGCTGAAGAGGCAGATATACACCGACCAGCCTTTTCCTTAAGTGTGGATCAGACACAGCAGTGCTGCTGGAGTTTTAAACACTGTGTCCACTCACTGTCCACTCTATTAGACACTCCTACCTTGTCAGTCCACCTTATAAATGTAAAGTCAGAGACGATAGCTCATCTGTTGCTGCACAGTTTGTGTTGGTCATCCTCTAGTCCTTCATCAGTGGTCACAGGACGCTGCCCACAGGACGCTGTTGGCTGGATATTTTTGGTTGGTGGACTATTCTCAGTCCAGCAGTGACACTGAGGTGTTTAAAAACTCCAGCAGCACTGCTGTGTCTGATCCACCCGTACCAGCACAACACACACTAACACACCACCACCACGTCAGTGTTACTGCAGTGCTGAGAATGATCCACCACCCAAATAGTACCTGCTCTGTTAGGGTCCATGGGGGTCCTGACCACTGAAGAACAGGGTAAAAGGGGGCTAACAAAGTATGCAGAGAAACAGATGGACTACAGTCTGTAACTGTAGAACTACAAAGTGCACCTATATAGTAAGTGGACAAAGAGTGAATATAGGAGGTGAAGCGGCTGGTCAGTATACAGTACTGTGCAAAAGTTTTAGGCACCTAAGCACATTATGTAACATCATATCATATCTTTTTTTGCATATAAAATTTGCTGGGTATGAAAAAAAACACAACATTTGAGAATCATACAAACATTTTTAATATTTTACGCTGGGACTTTAAAGTCTAGAACTAAGCTTTTGACATGTAGAACGTCATATATGTACAGTAAAGTGGCCGAAAATAGCTACAGTACCGTAGGATAGAACTGTGCATTTATTATAACCAGTCTTGCTCGCTCACTCTCTCTCTCTCTCTCTCTCTCTCTCCCTCACTCTCCCCCTCTCACACCCCACCTACAGTGATCTCCAATGTACGAAGCGAGACATCTTTTCAGACATCGTGGATGAACAAACAGTCCACCGAGTTGAAAAGCAGAGGGTCCTGTTGCCATGGAAACACTGAGAGCAGGATTGCTAGTAAACAAACCTACAGACCTTTAACGAGATGATGGAGGGAGGCAAAGCTATCTAAATAAATAAATAAATAAATAAATAAATAAATTCAGGTTGTGTGTGTGTGTGTGTGTGTGTGTGTGTGTGTGTGTGTGTGTGTGTGTGTGTGTGTGTGAATTAGCTCAGAGAATAGGACTGGAGTTACTAGACTGTGATTTCCCATTTGCCTCTGTGCTTCCAGCCCTCATCCGCTACAGTTACAAACAGACCTTTAGTCAGCACTGCTGCTGCGCACTGCTGGAATAATACAGGTCTGTGAACTCAGTGAACCCAGCTGGCTTCTCTGCATGAAGGACTAAGTGTAAAGTGTCAAATCTGAATCTTAATCAAAAGCTCATCATCCACCAGAAAACCCTGCTGTGGCAACTGACCTCTCTGTGCCCCGCCCACAATGCCAACTTTCATGGCTACTCTTTCGAGGTTGTAAAAGCTTTACAGACAGTTAGCATGAAACCCATTCAGTGTAATAAATTTAGGTTTGCTAAATGCTGCCTAGATACACTGTTGTTGCAACTAATGAAAAAGAGTAAATATAAAGGTTGTCTATATATCTGAGTGGATAACTCACAACCAGTCAGCATGGAAGCAGCTCAATTCGCAGTAAAATTTACAATAAACGCAAACACCGGCAATAACGCTAAAACCTTGACGCTGAAATGTTAATTGTACCCAAGTATGAAATAGATTTTCCTAGGTTTTTCATGTTTTCCAGCTTTCCAAAAGCAAGAAGAGCTGATGTGTATATTCCAGTTTCCCTTTTTGTAACACTTGCAGCTGAAGCTAATGCTAATTTAGCAAATTCTTTAGCCTTCCAGTCAAAGAAAAAGTTGCTAAGCAATATTGCATGACAAATTTAGAGCACCGGAATGTAAATTAGGATGGTATTTTAAAGTGTTAATTGCTACTTATAGAATTTTTATTTTGTAGAGAATTTGACCAAGGGTGACCTAAGCTAACAGTATTAGCATTTATGCTGGCAGCCACAGAATGAGTGTTTTTGCACATATTTTATCACCAGACAGAGAAAAATCAAAGCTTTATTTGATTCTACACCTGATTCTGTTTAAATATGGACATTTGTATGAGTGCATGCACAGAACAGGACTGTATATCGTTTCATATTAGCCAGTAAGATAAGCTAACTAGCAAGCAAGGTAGATAATTAGCCGAATTAGATGCTTTAGAGTGACAAAATGACCAAAAAGACTATGAAATCATTAATCAGTTATTATATCAGTTTCAGAAGCCTCTTAAATCAGGCGAAAAATGAACTAGAACTGTTACTAAAACCATAACAGCCAGGATTAGCGCTAAAAGCTGTTGTAGCAGTGCAACACTACCAGTGCTATCCATCGGGAAGTAAGTTATTTGTTGCAACACTGATTTATCGTATATATAAGACAGGATATATGCTTGTCCAGCCTTCCACCAACTTCCTATGAAAGACCACATTTGTGAGCAGAGCACAGACCAATTTTAACATATAACTCAGTTTGTCAAAATATCTAAAGGGGAAATTCGGCCTAAAACTAGCATTTAATATGCATTTAATACCCAGCATACATTGTGCATGTCACATAGCTATTGGGAATCCCTTCCATGGTGATGATGACATTCTGACTGCTCAACACTGACTGCAGAGGTTAATAAATACAGACGTGATATTCGGCTTCTTAGCATTAGCATAAACCATGTGGCTTCCTTCTGCATTAGTCAGCTAGTGGGGTTGGGTCGGGGGTCATCTGGCCCAAAGCACTTGTAGTTTTTCAAAGCACTTGTAGTTTTTCCCTCCCACCTTCAAGATGCATCATCA